CAATCACACCATCCTCTGGTCAGCACCCCAGACCACTCAGATAAGCAACATGTTGTCTGCATGGGATATTGCTTCATTACTCTTTCCTAGACCACCTAGGTAAGAGTCCCATATAGACCCAAATCCCCCACCCACACTTGGTCACCTCCATCAAACAAAAAGAGTAACGCTGTCCCCTCTGACCTGATCCACCAGAGGTCTATTCTCTTAAGACAATTAACCTAAATCTTAAGAATACAAGACTATTATACTTATCAGACAGCAAAAGCAAGCATTCCTCTGGCCTTAATCTCAAACTTACCCTGACAACCTAAAATACCACAAGATAGTAAAACAGTGTACTACCAGACACTGTCCCCAACTGCTCAAATGATTTCTGCTCCACACAGTCCTGATTTTCGCCAAGCAAAAGGTCTATATGCCAGATATTCTTTTATTGGTATTGTTCTTGCTTTGTTTTATCATTCCTATACCCTCCTTCTCTTAAAAAAAGTGCACTATTTTTATAATTTATCCTTAAGGAGGTCTTTCTTTTAACCTATAAATTCACCTCCTTTTTTACTTTCCTTTTTCCTTTTTTTCTCCTTCCTGTAATGTTTGTCTTCCATTTTCTATCTCCCCATTAAAATTTAATCCAATACTCTTCCCCAGATACTTAACATACACCACCCCTCTACTATAGCACAGAACAGAGTTAACTACACCCACATAACACCACCTCCTTAAAACCCCTAATAGCTACACCAAGGTGTCAATGAAACAACAGAAGATATCATATCACACACTCCAAAAAAAAAGAGAGAGAGAAACAGAAACAAATATCCCCAAACCAAACAGACCTAAATGAAATGCCTGAAATTGAACAGGTTATGGAATTACCAGAAAAGAACTTATAAGAATGATGATTGTACTCATACAACATATGAAGGAAGAATCTGTGAGGAAAAGTGAAAAAATAGAAATGTTAGCAACCTCGCTACATGCTTTACAAGAAAACCTATAAACAGAAACACAAAAGTCAAACACTACAATAGCAGAATTATGTATTACTATAAGAGAACCAAGAAACAGTATTAAAGAGATGGAAGCCTGAATTGATGACCTTGAAGACAAATCTATAGACTTCAATCTAAAAGAAGAACAACCAATAGAATACAAAAGTATATAAAATGTATCATCCACCATGATCAGGTAGGATTCATCCTAGAGATGCAGGGATGGTTCAACATCTGAAAATCCATCAATATTATACACCACATTGATAAGAAAAAGTATAAGATATCGATAGATGCGGAAAAACCATTTGACAATATCCAAAACCCATTCCTAATTAAGATGTTCAAGAGGATAAGAATGGAAGGTCAATTCCTCAAGTTAATACAAGCTATCTATGAAAAGCCAACAGTTAGCATCATAATCAATGGAGAAAAGATGAAATCAATCCCACTAAAAAAGGGGACCAGACAAGGATGTCCCTTGTCCCCACTTCTATTTAATATCATACTGGAGGTCCTAGCTAACAACATAAGACAGCAGAAGGATATTAGAGGTATTTGACTGGAAGAGGAGGAGGTAAAATGATCGTTATTTGCAGAAGACATGATTCTGTACATTGAAAACCCCCAAATCTCCACAACGGAGTACTGACAGCAATAGAGGAATATGGAAGAGTGACAGGATACAAGGTCAACAAACAAATATCAACTGGTTTTCTAAATACATCAGACAAGACCATTGAAAGAGAATATCAAGAAGGCAGTACCCTTCACAATAGCCAAGAACAAATTGAAATATCTCGGGATTTATTTGATCAAAGCAACAAAAGACCTATACAAGGAAAACTACAAGACCCTACTAAAGGAAACCAAAAACAATCTCTACAAATGGAAGAAAATTCCATGCTCATGGATTGGAAGACTCAATATAGTAAACATGTCAATCCTGTCCAAGGCACTCTATAAGTTTAAGGCTATCCCAATTCAAATATCAACAACCTTCTTCAAAGAACTGGAAAAACTGACCACCAAATTCACATGGAGAAGGAAGAATCCCAGAATTAGCAAAGAACTCCTCAAGAACAAGGACAAAGCCAGAAGGCTCACTTTACCTGACTTTCACACCGACTACACAGCCACAGTGGTCAAAACAGAGTGGTACTGGCATAAAGACAGATCTACTAAGGATAAAAGACTTGTGTTCATCAAGAAACTTCAACTAGAGGGTAACAAGGCAACCCACAGATTGGGAGAGGATTTTTTAGCAATGGCACGCAGACAAAGGGCTTATTACTAAAATTTACAATATCTTCCTTGCTTACAAAAAGATGAAATCATTTAACCCCTTGAAGAAGTGGGCCAAAGAATTGAAAAGAAATTTCACTCAGGAGGAGACCCGTATAGCCAAAAAACATATGAGAAAATACTCCTGATCACTAACTATCAGAGAGATGCAAATCAAAACAACCATGAGATACCACCTAACACCCTTGAGGTTAGCCCAAATCAGAAAATCAGAGAGCAACAAATGCTGGAGGGGGATGTGGCGAGATAGGAACTCTCCTCTACTGCTGGTGGTGTTGTAGATATGTACAGCCTTTATGAAACACTATCTGGAGATATTTAAAGAAAATGGAAATTGAACTGCCCTATGACCCAGCTATCCCTTTACTGGGCATATACCCAGAAGAAGTAAGAAAGAAACCATGACCAGTCGTCTGTGCTCCAATGTTTATTGTGGCACAATTCACAATTGCAAAGAGTTGGAAACAACCCAAATTCCCATTGTTAGACAAGTGGATCAGTAAACTATGGTAAATACACACAAGGAAGTACTATGCATCACTAAAAAGCACTGGTGATCACATGAAACACGTCATTTCATGGGAAGAGTTGGAAGAAATTATGCTAAGTGAGGTCAGCCAATCACAAAAGGAGAAGTACAGCATGAGTCCCCTGAGGAAAGTGTAATCAGCACAGTAGGTATAGAAGAGAAGCCATCTATATCCCAGTATTCGGGTAGAGGTACAGGGAGTCAGGATGAGGTTAGAACAAACCCAAGGAGGTCGATGTAGTTCCAACACAAAGAAGTGGAATGGGGGGCAGGGAAAAGAGCCACCACAAAAACCGACACACCAACAGGGAGCGCGGGAGCAGCCCACGAACACATCCAGGGGAACACCACTGCTTCCCCTCCACACAACTAAAAGGAGAAACACAGACCATAACATGGACCACCAAACCACGAGCGAAAGGGAGCAAAAGGGAGAAAAAAAGGAAAAAAGAAGCCCACAAGAACGGCCCCAAACACAGACAAACTGACCCCAGACCTAGAAAAAGGGCTGACCGAGAACATCAGCAAACCAAAAAGAAGGGGAGACGCACCGGCATCCCCCCACCAAACAGAACCAGACCAACAACGAAGAACAGGAAGAGACACAAAGCCCCAAACCAAAACGACCACACCAAAAACACAGGAGCAGGGCCCCACAAGAAATCGCCGGGACATGGAGGGAAAGCAAAAACCAAAAAAAACTCGTGCCACGTCAGCCCTTGATAGCAGCACACTACCACAGACCACAAAGCTGAAGCCACAAACAGGGAAAGAAGAGCGGTCTGAACCCACCACAGAAACGGGAACCAAGAACACAACACAAAAAATCCGCAAACAAAGCAAAGCAAAGCGACAAAAACACCGAAAACCCCCCAAAACAAACGAAAGAGGGGGAGGCAGAAAACCCCAAAGACAACCCCCAGAAAAAAATGAAAAAAAGAAAACAAACAAAGAAAAAGAAATATAAGTAAAAAACCAAAAAAAAAAAAAGTCACTTATAACAAAAAAAACACCCCTCACAACCCCAGCTGACACAAACCAGTACACCCACATGGCTAAAACTATAGCATAAGTAGGGGACCGACAAACGGAAGATAAGCAAGCAAAGAAAACCCCACAACAACACAGCAGAAACAAGAGGACACGGGGAACTCCAGGAATAAAAGACAGCCCCAAAAACCCCACGGAGCAGCCAGCGCCATAAACACAAGAACAACGACAATAGGAGAATCAACAACAACCAGAACAGACAGAACCACACAAGAAACAGTAACACCAAACGACATAAGACCAACTCAGAACAGGCATAAAGAGACCGCAAAAGATAGGGGCGCAGGAGGAAGGTAAAAGAAACCACAAGAAGGACAAAAGAACCAAAGCAATAAATACAACCACAAGCAGAGACGTGGAAATAAGAAAAGAAACCAATCCAAAAAAAGAGACACAGTCACCCAAGGAAAAAGAGAAAAACGGCAAGACTCCCACGCAGTGAATAAAAGTGCGGCAACTCAACATACAAACCAAACATACAAAAACACATCAGTCAAACAAAATGGAACGCTAAGAAGCTAACAACCATAACAAAATCACAGAAGACAAAAAGGAAAATCAGCAAAACAAAGAAACAAAACAAAGCATGGCCGGCTACAAAAAGAGAGACAAGCAAGGGGCGGAAAGGCGGGAAGTGAAACAAGCAGGCAGACACCACAGAACCAGCAACACCACACCGAAAAACCACACTAGACGCCAAACCACAAGAAACCAGCCCCACCGCAGAACACGCACCACAAGAAGAAAAACAAAAAAACAAACAAACAAACACAGATTGGTCAAAAGGACAGAGGTCAACAAGAAACACAAACCCCAGCTGAACACAATGGAACAAACCCCCCACAGAACCACCACACCAAAAGCAAGAGGCAACCACGATCCAGCAAAGGAGCCAGGAGGCACAAAACAGACCACCGACCCCGTCAGGCTCCCACACACCCCACTAACAGAACCGCAAAACAACACAAACTCAGAACACAGCAAGCAAGCACAACCGACCGACCAGGAGCACACAAGCAAAACACACCAACAGAGACCAAAAGCCCAAAAACAAAGGAAATGATAACAAAACGAAGAGACCAACACACACACAAAAAGGCTGGATAAAAGTCATGTACAGAATGGGAGGCACAAGCAGGAAGACACTCATAGAACCAGACCCCGGGCTCCGGCGACCAAAGGCAACAAGAAACATCGCCACACTACAAAAAAGAGGACCCAGAACAGGGCTAAATAGGGCAAACAGGAAAAAACAGCACAAAGCCACCCAACCCCTACAAAGGGACCCAAACTCCCAAAGGACGGAAGGGAGCAGCACCGACCGCAGCAGGGACAAATTCCGCACCGACCCCAGGACCCGCACAGGGCCCAACTGCACATGGCCAGCACCTCAACCCAACACCACCAACAAACCACCCCCCACGCCACAGTGGGCCCACAACCCGCCGCTGGCCAGCTACTCACAAGACAACCTTCCCACACAGCTGGTGAAGACACACAACCTGCTAACCACCAGGAACTACATCTTTGGATACCACCCCCACGGCATCATGGGCTTGGGTGCCTTCTGCAACTTCAGCACTGAGGCCACAGAAGTGAGCAAGAAGTTCCCTGGCATACGGCCCTACCTGGCCACGCTGGCTGGCAACTTCCGGATGCCTTTGCTGAGGGAGTACCTGATGTCAGGAGGCATCTGCCCTGTCAACCGGGACACCATAGACTACCTGCTTTCCAAGAACGGGAGTGGCAATGCCATCATCATTGTCGTTGGAGGTACTGCGGAATCTCTGAGTTCCCGGCCTGGCAAGAATGCTGTCACCCTGCGCAACCGCAAAGGCTTCGTGAAGCTGGCCCTGCGCCATGGAGCTGACCTGGTTCCCACCTACTCCTTTGGTGAGAACGAAGTGTACAAGCAAGTGATCTTTGAGGAGGGCTCGTGGGGCCTCTGGGTCCAGCAGAAGTTCCAGAAGTACATCGGCTTTGCCCCCTGCATCTTCCACGGCCGAGGCTTCTTCTCCTCCAACACCTGGGGGCTGGTGCCCTACTCTAAGCCCATCACCACTGTCG